CAGATCAAGGAATCTCTGTTTCTCTACAAGCTAATGTTGAAGAGCTTTTAAGATATTTTAAAATGCAAAGCTGCAGGCCTAAGGATACTCCTTTGGTAGTCAATAAAACATTATGTGAATGTGATGAAGAAGATATCAAGGCTGACGCAACGAGGTATAAGCATAATAGTGCTGTTGGGAGCTTGCTTTGCCCGACTTCAACAAGGCCTGATGTGATGTTTGCAGCATATTTATCATCAATATTTTTGCAATAACCAAGTGAGGTGCATTATGTAGCTGGCAAATGGGTGCTGAGGTAGTTAAAAGGCACATCAGAGTTAGACCTGTTACAGATTCCAAGTTAATTGGATATGTCGATAGTGATTCGGCTGGAAGCTTAGATGATGGAAAGAGTACATCAGGTTATACGTTTTCTCCTGGTTCTAGTTTGTTTTGCTGGAACTCCAAAAGGCAAGAGGTTATGGCTCAATCATCTACAGAAGTTGAATATGCAAACCAAGCTATTCGGTTAGAAAGATGTTGACAGATTTGGGTCTGGAGCAAGCTGAAGCTACTCAAATATTTTGTGATAGCAGATCAGCTATTGCAAGAAACTCTGTGCAGCGTGGGAATGCCAAACACATGAAGGTCAAATAATATTCTCTTAGAAATGCTGAAAGGGAACAAGAAATATGTCCTGTGCATTGCAGTTCCGAAAAGCAAGTTGCAGGCATAATCACTAAAGCTTTGCCTAAAGACAGATTTCAGGAGCTTAGAAGGAAGCTTAGAGTCCCTAGACAAAGTCTCAAGGAGGAGTGTTGATGCAATAAGACTACCTTAGGCAAAGGTATTCTGCTGTGTTTTTGTCTTGGTTTTGCAAGACCTTTGGTTTCTTTTGTAGTAGTTGAACAGATTCTACAAGATTGTTTATTCCTATTGTCATGTCATATAAGTCTAAAACATGTTTTTAGACCTGGATAGTATTTTGAAAAAGCTAATATATTAGCCAGCTATTGCTAATGAAATGTTTGTTCTCTCACTTTTTTTAGTCCAGTTCCAAGCTCTTTTCTTTATAGAATATACCATGATGAAAACGAGATTGTAGTTAAAATAACTTGAGCTTCAATACCATTACTCTCATCATCATAATTCAGTACTTTGGCTTGTATGTAACTGAAAAGGACATGTAGAAAATTGCAGGGATAAAAGGAAAAAACAGACATTTAAAAGAGTGACATGCACTAACGGTAATAAACCCATTGCTTCCAGAAGTGAAGTTGACTTTTGTTGAGGGAATCAGAAATATAGAATGCAATATTCTCAATGGTTGCATATCCGAAATCGGCAGCAAAAATCAGCTCTTCACATCGTCGAAGCAAATCCAAGGCAATGTCTATCCATATATCATAATCACTTAGTATATGAGATGAAATATCAAGATAACATGAACCCGCATAGAGAATAGAATGAAAATGAGACATATATATAGTGAATTGTTGACGTATTGCTAGTTGTATTACCAAGATCTCCAGTGACGAAACAGCCTCTGAGAAACGAAAGACCTAGAGGGCCATTTTCTTTTTGAAGACTTGCAAAGGAGTGACAGAATAGAGATAACGTCCCATTTCAGAGAGGCCAACACGAAAAGCGAATGTAACAGGAATCAATTTAAGTTGTCCATTTGGAATAGAAAGTACATTGCTATTTTTATCAACTGAGCATTTCGCTATTGGAATGATTCCCCATTTTTCTCCTTCGGCCCTTAGGTCTTTGTGGTTTTTTTTGAAATATTCTAGAGGAATCAGCCCCTCGTTGTTTTGATGTAGCCTATATCCAGGATCCATTACACTCTCGATAGCCTATGTATATAGAAAATAAATAAATAAATAAGCAATAAATAAAAGACTCAACGTAACAAAATAGCTAGAATTGATTAATTGTATATTAAAACAATTATTTTGTTCTATATAAGCTAACCCATTATTATTCTTACATTATACAAGGAATTATCTAATGATATAAAATTACTTCACTTTTCTAGCTAGTTCACAATCAGCAAGTCTCATCAGATGTGTCTATGAATTAAAAAAAATTAATCCTTAAAAGAGAACATCTCCTTCTTTGGTCAATTTCATTCATTAAATTGCACCATATAATAATGAATCTTAATTATTGGCAAGGAAAAAAAACCGGACATGTGTGCATGTGTTAATATGATTCATTTTCTTCTGCCTCTGGCATGCACAGAAAAGGATTAAATTTCAGTTCTAACCTTGAACCATTGCAGTTCTCTTTGCATCTGCAGTGCGGCACCAAAGATGCTGTTAAGGTAGGAATCAGGAGCTAACGAGGCTGCCAAATGTAGCAAGTTATTTCCTGTCTCTCTTGCTGCTCTCATTTTTGCTGGTGTTGCTGCTGCCGTAATCTGGAAGTGACGACAAAGGAAGAGGCTGAAAACCGCAGCTTTACGATATTCAACAGCGGTAATGACGAAAACGGGAGAGTTTAGGCAAACAGAAGTAACAAGTGCGATTAACTCCGGGTTTGCCTTCGTTACTCGCAAAACAAACTCAGCATTGCCCTGCTGAGCTGCACAATTCAGTGCCATTCTAATCATATTCCTCTTTTCTACATTCAGAAGCATCAGAATATTCGGACAAAGTAGGTTTAGAATTTCAGTTGCTTGTGCATGCTGGAGCTTCATCTTATATATTTCCTTCATCCCTACACCATTGGCAACCGATCGAAATAGAACTAGAATGTTAAAGGCATTCGATTTAAGTTCTGGGCAACTTTTTGGCGCGCGTACACATATATACATACCTGACAAATTATATACGCTGGAGAGTAGCCAATGGCGTAGACCTGTCCCTGTTGACATGCATTTTTCTTTTTCTTTTAGTCCAATCATTCGAGAGGATATGCATGCGTGCATGTCTATATATATAGGTTCATCCTTTCTTTCTCTTTTCCCGAGGTTTATTTGTGTGCATATACGAGTCTAATCTTTTTTGGGAAAATTATGTACAGATCTCACAGAAGAGATTTTATTCATCTAAGGTACCACAAAATGTCAAAATTACTGACAGGTCCCAAGGGACCTTAGAGTAATATATTCTATTTGTAAAATGACGTCACTGCCCCTCACATTCCAAATTTATATTTGCTCTATCATTGTGATTTACAACCTCAGCAGCAACTATTAACAACCCAATGAAAAGATGTTGACAACCTAAACAGTATCCGATAACAACTTATTTTATAGGATCACATAACCTCCACATAAGAGTAAATTATAACCAAATAGTATAATACAACAATTTTAACACTAAAATGGGAAGCTTTCTGAAAGCATTAAGAATTTTAACTAAACCCAATAGGATTATAGCAAAATTTTAATGCGGAGATCCATTGACAACCTCAACGGTGAGTATTAATAACCTAAGGAGAACTGTTAACAACCTTAGCAGTGTATGTTAACAGCTAACTTTATAGGATAATGTAACCTCTAACTATAACTAACTAAATTATAACTAAATAGTGTTAAAGTTAATCTTATATAGTTGTTAGGGGTTATATTATCCTATAAAGTCAGTTGTTAATAGACACTGCCTAGATTGTCAACAGCTCTCCTTGGGTTATTAATATTTATTGTTGAAGTTGTCAATGAATCTCGGCATTAAAATTTTGCTATAATCCTAGTAGATTTAGTTAAAGTTCTTAATGGCTTCGAAAAACTTCCCATTTTAGTGTTAAAGTTGTTGTATTATACTATTTGGTTATAGTTTATTCTTATGTGAAGGTTATGTGATCCCATAAAATAAGTTGTTAACGGATACTGCTTAAGTTGTTAACACCTCATTGGGTTATTAATAGTCGCTGTTGAGGTTGTAAATCGCAATGACAGAGCAAATGTGAATTTGGAATATGAGGGGCAGTAATGTTATTTTACAAATAGAATATATTACTCTAAGATCCCTTGGGACCTGTTAGTAATTTTGACATTTTGTAGGACCTTAGATGAATAAAATCTTTTCTGTGAGACCTGTGTGTAATTTTCCCATCTTTTTTTCTCCAGTCAAAGCTAAGTGCAACTTAATTAAATGCTAACACTGAGTAACCTGTGCATAAATTAAGGCTGAGACATATATTCAAAAATCGAGCTTATAATAAAAATTAATTTTTAATTTCAAATTTCATATTTTGGCATACCTGATTTTATGGGTGCTAAATTAAATGAAAAACATTACAAATTGTAATCTACTATGTTCTGTAATAATAGTTATATAATATTATTTGATTTCATCTCCTGAAGTGATAATAGAGGATATTGTACCTTGACCAGCTCTGCTGCCCTCGCCTTCTTGCTGAATATCTACGCAGAAATGCCCGGTGGTTGTCGTTGATGGTATTTTAATATCTTCCACCCAGAAGTGATCAAAGAAATGGGAAAACATAAGCTTCTTCAAAAAATAATGCAGAAAAAAACTAGAAGCACAAGTAAATTACATAAATAGTATTAATTAATTACTGCCGCCTCTTGTTTTCTATGAAACTTGAAGTCAAAAATGATATCTTTCAATTAATTGAGGGTTAATTACATAAATAGTATTTTTGGAATTTTTTTGCCAACCTTATTTAATCTAAATTGGAAGGAAACTTGAAAAAAAATTATTAATTTAAGAGAAATTTAATACTTTAACTGTCATTAATTAGTGTGTAAGAATTAGTTGAAAATGTCTTATAATAAGAATCAAAGGTAGTACTACCTCACCAGAACGAGAAAAGTGGTTCACTTGTCAAATTTAAAAATAAAATATTTTTTGCAACTCTGCACATATTTAAGAGCACAGACAAACACTATACGATACTTCAACTCCTCTTCTAATAAATTGTAATAGGGAGGGGTAATACCTATTTGGAAAAAAATTCATTAATAATCCATCAAGTGACTTATATTGTGGGTTGAGAATGTCTTTCAAAAGGCTATCTTTATTTAATTAGGAAGGTAGGAGTAAGAGGGGAAGGGTGATCGAGACGGAGTGGGAATAAGTGTGTGTAAACTAAATTATACCAGAGGTTGTTTCATCTTCACCATCTTTACCGTCATCATCATAATTCGCCGTTATGGCTAGCGAGTACTTTAAAAGAGTGAACGACATATATAGAAAATTGTATGGAGAACAGAGAGTGGAAAGTAATAATATGTACTAACAGTGATAGGCCCATCGCTTCAAGAACGGAAGTTGACTTTTGTGAAGAGAATGAGGAAGAGAGAGTGCAATATTCGCAATTGTTGAGTTCTCATCTGCGTCTTGAGCAAAAAGCAGCTCCGTGCATCGTTGGAGCAATTGCAAGGCAATACCTAATAGAATCATATAGTATAAAGAGACGAGAGGGAAAAAATGAAAATGAAACACAAATTGCGCTTTGCGAGTGAAATTATATATCTAAAAATTACGTTACCAAATTCTCCACTTCTCAAACAGGTTCGGAGAAAGTCACGGCCCACAAAAGAGCCGTTTTCTGGTTTGAAGACTTCCAAAGGAGTGACAGAATAGAGATAACGTTCCAATTTGTTGTGGCTAGACAGAAAAGCCAAGGTAGCAGGAATCAGCCAAGGCCATGGAGCTGGAATTGCAAGTGCATTGCTATTTTTCTTTCTCATGCATTTTGCAATTGGGATGGATTCCGTATGTGTGGCAGTTGTTGCAAGTGGAGTATAGCCATAATAATCCCATATTTCAAGATATTCTGGTTCAACTAATTTCATCAACTCTTCTACTATGGCCACATGCCCGAACTTTGCCGCTGTATGAAGAGGTGTTTCGCCTCTTGAAGCTCCAAAATCTACGTCCAATAACTTAGGATGGCGATCAATGAATGCTTTTGCTTCGAACCAGTTGTCCTCATATATGGCCTTGTTCAAATTAGCCATCTCTAATTCGTCTGCCTCCATCACTGGAATCAACAACCAGCACATACGCATTAAAAATTTAAAATATGTATTCGAATGCATAATTAAGAGGAAGGACATAGGTAAATCAAATGAGAAGGAGTGAATGCAATGAGTTGGCACCCAATGTTGCTATCGAAGTTCAGATAGGAATTGGCTCAGGTGTTGCCTAATAATAATACTTCGATTTTCTTCTGTACATAAAGAAGAAACGACGGAGGTTTTTAGTAATATAGCCTTAACGCCATACTTCATATCTAAATCTTGTACTTCTCTTCCCTCGCTACTGTATGTAATCATCAATTCTTTCAGTTTGTGAAATTAAAATACACATTTCAGCGAAATAAACAAAGATTAATTGCGCTTACTTCTTTCTTCCTCCACGTGAATTTGTGATGTCAGTGGCTTGTTACTTCTTTTTCAGCTCGCTCTCACACTTCACTGACTCTTCCACATTCTATATATTTATAGCCTTTTTGTTTATTCCTTACGTGTTTGTATGGTTTAAGGTGTTCAATAAATGATAGGGGATCAAGAAAAAGATCGTGATATGTTACCAAAAAGAAAAAAGAAAAAGAAAACAAACTTGACTTTTTCTTTTAAAAAGCACGTACACATTAAAAACGATAGTGCTGTAGGGGAACAACTTAATTGCCTTAAGTACCATGTAGTATCTTCTTTTGCAGATGCCTCACAGTTCACTTGCTCCTGATGCATTGTATATCTGTAGCCATTGTCGTATTATTTCTTATGGTTTAAACGCCGACGTGGCACAATCTGGAACGTTGGTGAAGCAAAGGACTTGGATTTGAATTGAAGATTATCAATTCACTAAAAAGCGGCAGATCTTCTAGAGAAAACTCACACAAGGAACATAAAAATTACTAAATCTCAAATCAAAATTGTTTCCTATAAATTAATAGTTTTTGGGTTCAAGTGCATTGGTACCTTGAAGTATTTTCTCAGGTGTATCCAACACTTGGAGTATTTGTGGTGCATCTAGCTTCTTGAAGTAATTTTTATGTATGTCTAGCACCTTGAAGTAATTTTTTTTCCTTAGTGCTAGATGTACCAAAAAATATTTTTGGGTGTTGGACACATCTAAAAAAAATACTTTGAGATGTTGGATGCATACAAAAAACTTCACAGTGCTGAGCACATCTAAAAAAATACTTCATGGTGTCTTTTAGAGTATTGGATGCACTCGAAAAAATACTTTGGAATGCTGGATGCATCTTAAACCATAGTTTTTTCACTATTAAATAATAAGGCATTTTTTAAAAGAATTTTTTATTTGAGATTTGGTAATCTGGAAGTTCCTTTTGTAGAAATTTCCCCATCTTGTTACGCAAATCTTGTTTTTAGTAATTTTTGCACCAAAGTCCTAAACTTATGCATCACGTTTGACTGTTTGTGCCTGTTTGGATTTGTGCAAATTAAACTGAATATATGCCCTTGTTCAGCACAATTATTTTTAATTAGGCATAACTTAAAATAGCATAAACCTTTTATTTTTTTCAACGATTAATTAATAGGTTTTAACGTAATTTTTTTAGCCGAAAGGGTATCAATGTATGTAATTACGTTAAAAAAAATCTTGTTATTCCTCAAACTATATTAAACATTCTGCATAATCACTTTTATTTTTGAATAATACTAGAAATAATTAAAAATTGAGGATAGTAATAATCTCTATATTTAAAGAAATTTTTGTTATGTGTTTTCCATATAGTCAAAAAAATTATTGGTAATTTCACTTTATTTTCAGTTTTTATTCAACAAAAAGTTAATGTATCAGGTATTCATATTATACTGATATTATATTTGATATAAATTAATTTTTTTTAATTTTATTTCATTTTATCTGTGTTGATTCAATCATGCTTCTGATATTTAAAAACAGCTACATATAATTGTTGTTTCACCTCATATATAAAACAAATCTTTCACTGTTTTAAGAAAGTTCAAAATTTATTTTCCCCCCTCTAATAACCTGAAATAGTTAGGTAAAATTAAAGCCAAACAGTTTTTGCCGGTTTTAATTTTGTCATTGCTACAAAGTTTTTTCATAAATAATGCTTCTTCATTAACATAAGTACGTCAATGAAAGATTGTGCTGCCTTTTCACCTTATTTGAATTTTTATTTAATTTGTTTATTTTTTCAAATGGTGATAGAAAATTGTGTAAAAGGTAATAGGAAACACAGTGGATACTTTTCTAATTATTTCAATTTCTTATTTTTAATAATCTTTTAGTTTTATTTTAAATAATCAAAATATATGCACATAAATATGTTAAGGCTAGACTCGAGCCTTATACCTCCTTCAAGTGTAGGGGCTGGCAGCCCACCAGAAGACAAGTTACGGCGGGTTAGGGGTGGGAATCAAATTGAAGTCTAATCTGTTGAGCACTCAGCACATGCACCTCATTATTTTTATTGGTATTTGCTGAAATAATTCGTTATTAAATAATTAAGAAAACATATTATGCGTAAAAACACATGAAGCTTGAAAAGGGCCATGAAAACAGAGCATACTGGAGATTCAATAATGAGCTCCTAACGTTGTTCACCTCATCTCTAGACTAGGAGTAAGTTTGTGTAAGATAAGTCTCTTGTTGACTCTGTAATCACCACTTACGAACAAAGGACCATATTGTGAGTAAATTTGTTACTGCCTTCGTTTCTTATTATAAAAACATGTTTGATTTTTAATTTGGTTTTAAATATAAGACCCCAAACTATTTTGTTTCTCATGTTTATTCATTTTTTTCAAAGTAGTCCTTATAGTAGTTGCACATGTTAAATGTTTCATCAAATGGTAATTCTAGCTAATATGTATGATTAGCAAGGGCATTTTAGAAAAGACAACATCTATCTATTTATAACAAATAACTAACTTAACTAATTTTTTTAATCTTCTCAAATTAGTCAACTAGGTCTTATATTAAGGACCAAAGGTAGTAACATTGTACTCTTCCGGTCCTCAATATAAGACCCCTTTCTTAGTGTAAATTACACTGTAAAAGGGGATTTATATTTAGGACCGGAAAAATATATTTATAGCCATTGTCATATTATTTCTTACATGCTTGTTCATATCGTTTAATTTAAAATATTTAATACTATTTCATTTAGATTTTAATGTAAAAGCTACTTAACTACTACTTGAAGGAACGAAAGCGCCATATGCTTTTTAAGATCTTCTAAATTGAATGGAATAGATCTGACGCAGACAAGAAGCAAGGAATGGAAATAAAAGACAAACGTGTTTATGAAATGGGGAATGCTTGACGCGACACAATCTTATGTTTTAGCAATTTTTGCACCAAAGTTCAAAAGACCATATTTTGAGTAAACTTGTGTAGGTAAGTCTCTTGTTAAATAGTCTCCTTTTTCGTTAATGAAGCATGTGACACGAAGTATAAAGTTAGTTCTAGGAATAATTAAAGAATGTTTCCCCATACACCCCTGATGAATTATTAAAATTTCATGACCCTCTTTCTTTGAAAAATTTAAAGGAACAGATCAGAGATCCATCATATACACAACTTACCAAGTGAATTTGGTTCTATATATGCACCTTCCCTCCTTTGACGAAAACTTCGAAGCTATATGTGAATGGCTGAGCTTTCTTTTGCAATTCATTCTTTCCTTTCTGTCTTCTGGGTTTGTGAGCCTTCTAATAGACACGAAACAACAACAATAACAAATAAAAATGATTTCTGTCGAATGCTCCGAATATAAGTCTGGTTCCCATGATATGATGACGGTGGAATAATCAACAATGTAAAGTAAGCATTAATCATGCCTCTGTTTCAGATATGAGGTAACTGGTTACGCTTTGTCTAAACAAATAATACACTAAGTACCACTCTGCCATGATATAGCCTTGTACAGAATACCCATCTCTAAATACTGTACCTCTCTCCTTCTCCTCATCATTGTAAACGCCGATTCTTGCAGTGTCAACTAATCGCTTTTTGAGAAATTAAAACATATTAATTTCATCCAAAGATTAAACGCGATTACTAGTTGGTGCTTGCTTCCATGATTCACACATCGGCCAGAAT